TAAAGGAGTTAATTAAATGGCCATAATCCCAAAATGGCCTCACTTCACCTTATACCTTCTGTCTTCTTTCATGACCAGGTTGGGGCATCCCCACAACCAGGGTCTGTAGGGAACGTGGGTTCTACCAGGGACACCCTTTCCCTTACCTACAGCCTTCCACCTACACATGTTTACTACATACGTGCCCCTCCACCACAGGAAGAGGCAGTCTCTTAGGAAGAACAAATCTAAATAAAGAAGTTTCTTAGCACTGAAGGAGGTCAGGAAAGCACATCCCAATCCACGCTCCTTCCTGTCAGCGCCGGTGATGACCTGCAGCATTGTCTTTTTCTTACTTGGCTTAAAAACTGTAGTGACTTAATCCCCGGTCAGTAAAAAAACCCCCGATGGAGATAGGTCCATGCTGTTAGCAGGCCAGACATCTGTCAGTGCAATAGAGGGGCAGGGAGGGAACGGTGACTCTCGGTGGCCCTTTGGTCCTGCTTTCTACGATAAGGCAAAGCAAGGCACTGGAGCATAATTGGGGATGGCACCAAGCCCAGCACAGGGTGGGGGTGAGAAGGGTGGAAAACTTTGTCATTTTTTGGCTGCATCCCTCCCCCAAAAGCTGTGCAGCACACAGGAGAAAGCTGACAGATAACAAGGCCATTAATTAGCTGATTGTTAAAGGGAGGTTTCCCGTGCAGAAGGTCTTTAGGGACCATGTCCTTACTGAAAAGTCATAAAAATAGCCACTTTTTCTAAATCAGGCTGGCAGATGGACTGTGAAATCCTTGCGCAGGCAAAGCAGTATGATTTTTCACCTGCATTTAACTTGTCAAGCTCACCACCTCCCTCCCACCCTTCACAAAAACCTGGGAGCTGGCCTTAAATACCTCTCTGGAGAGGGAAATGGGGACTTAGCAGGGGCAGAAGAGCACCTCTGAGATAGGTTGTCCCTATTCACGTTTTCCCAGCAGTTACAAGCACAGACAGACACTGAGCTGCAGACATTACCCTCAAAGGTCACACCCCTGTCCCTTTTCTTTGAGGGTCATGTAGATGTCTTATAAGCAGACAGAGGACAAAATCCCCCCAGGCCCCAGGATTCTCCCAATTATCCTAGCAGGAGTGGAGAGGAAGGTGGGAAGATTATGAATACACAGCATGGACATCACACCCTGGGGAACCTTCCAGTGCTGGCGCCCCTTTCTTTTGAGAGGCCAACCAAATGGATTGACGATGACCCTGACCAGTGCCAGCCCCGCACGGTACATGGTCTGAGATGGATAGTCTTAAAACAACAGTGGCTGGAGAGCTGTCCTGCCCACGGCAGACTCCATGCCCCTTCTCATGGCGCATTGCACGGCAACGCGGGGTTGGAAATCCAGGTGGCTGCTCTGCAGGACTGGAGACCTTCCTTGCAGGCATTGCTGAGTTTTTCCGTGCTCTCACGGAGGACGATTCGGGTCACCTCGGTCACAAGCTTGTGATAGATCTTGACCGACTTCAATGCAGTGCAACAGCCTCTCAGTTAAGACAGCCTCTCACAGCTACGGAAATGAAGAGCTGAGCAGTCTTACTGCTGGCTTTCTCATAACCAAATAAAGGCTTCTGTGAGGCATCCCTACAGCTATTAAAAATTCAGGCTACTGCAAACAAAAAGAAGCAAATCTTGTATTGAAGTAGAAGAAGCCAGCCAAAAAAGATTGGGTAAGTGCCTGGAAAAAGCGTAAGGACTTTCCAAATGAACTAGCGAGGCAAAGCTCTGGAAGTACTGGGGTGCCTTGCCTTTCACACGAGGAAAATTCAGCACACAGAGCAGAGACTCTGCCTCGCTAAGCTCCAGCTTCAGTGACTCCACATACCCACGTCAAACACTCAAGGGAGGCCCTTTGCGCTTTGCATTCACTAGAATTTGGTGTCCAGATGACAAGAGAACTGGGGCTAGAGAGACACAGATGGAGCAGCAGAGCTGAAGGCATATGCTCGAGCCCAAGCACGTGGCAGCTGCTGCAGCAAAAGAAGGGCAGTGTGTGAGCATACGGGAAGTGAGCCGGCTGTGCAAGGGAGGGCAGGCATTTGAAACCGTGACAAATTTAGCCCCGTTCATTAGGACTACGTTTTCCACTGTTAATGCCAGTGCTCCATCCCTGATTAGGCTTTGTATCCATCATGTGGTTTCTGGTTGGTTTTGGTTTTTTACTTCAAGTCAGCAAAGGCTGTGACACACGCTGTCCTATCTCAGCCTCTTCTAAAGGGGAAGATGCAGCCTGAGAGATGAGATGACGTGATTGCGGGATTGCTAACAGCAGGCTGCCCCAAGACTCTGAGAACGATCTTGGAGCTCCTACAAGGCAGACGAGGAGCCTGACCTTGGGATCTGGTGATCTGTAAGATGGTTTTTTTATTCTGGACAACTTTGAGACATTATAGCAAAACCTCCCCAAAAACCTGCCTCCTCAAAAAAAAATAAAAAAAATTCAGAGATGCAGAACTGAAGACCAAATTCCTACTGTTCCTCCCCAGCAATCATTTCATCACCAGTTAAAGCAAGAGAGTATCGGCCAGCCAGGATGGGAAAAAAAAAAAAAAAAAAGATAGAACGGCCTGTAATGAAAATGCAAAATAAATGCTGGTGGGGGAGAAAGAAAAAAAAAAAAAACCCACACCAGAAGCCCACCAGGTTGACTCAGCACGTGTAAACAGAAACATCCTCTGCACCTTACGCCAGAGAAAAAGGTCCCCAAAGCCACACACCTGCTGCACATGCTCCTGACTGCCCACTGACCGGTGAACTTGTATTTCTCCAGTTAAAAAAGACTGTATGATTTTCAGGAGATCACGTAGCTCACCTCTATTCCCATGGTCTTTACTCACTAAAGATTGTTCAATATGACACCCCAAAGAGGCTGGGACAAGAAGCTCGACAAAACCATGAGCTACCCCCACAAGAAATTCCAGCACACTTTGAAGGAAGACAGAGAAAGCACCTCTCCAGCAACATTTAGAGGCTGGATGATGTCCTCTTCTTGGCTTAACCTGTCCCTTACATATTTTTTATTGCAAAGAGCACCTGTAGATATTTTTACAATCCATAAATGTGAAAGCCTTTTCTGTCTCCTAGCGATAAAAATATCCTGTAGCAACGATAAGCTAATTACGTGTTGCGTAAAGTAGATTAACTTTTAATGTGTCGTTCTCTCATGTCACTGGCTGCCCCCTTTCCCTTGCTTTAAAAGGAAGGGTAGATTTACCAAATTAATCACTTCTAAAACACCGGCACCTTGTTACAGCCTTTATCTTATCGGCTGTATCTCAAAGCTAAGTAGCTCTCATTGTATTCTCTTCTCATTTCAGAGTCTGCCTGCCTCCAACATCCTCCCTTTGCTGGAGATTTTCATATCATCTTTGAGACAGGATGATCACTGAGCACTGCACGCACTTTGGCGGTGTTCCATTTACATAAATAATACTGCTCACTGCAGTATTTTCACTTACTCCCTCTCTCTTTTCTAGTCTTAGTTGCCGTTAATCTTGCTCCACACACGTCTCACCTGTCTTTTTTTCCTGGCTGGTTCTAGTTCTCTTTTCAAACCAGTAATACAAAAAAGTTGTTGAGATGAATTATCTCCACCTGCATTTGTCCAAGAAGAATTCCCTCCCTGCCATGGGTTGCTAAATTCCTTCCATAATGAGGTTTCTTTGAAATTCCTACTACTCCTCTCTAAAACTGAAATGATTTTGTGCCATCCCGTCCCAGATTCCAGTTCAGAGCCCTAGGGTTGCATAAAAAAATGTTTTCAAACAAAGAAAATCCCCGTTTCTGCTGCCTATTCAATTCTTGATAATTCTATTAGTGGCTCTTCTTTTACTGGCTTTCTAAATGTTCATGGACATATTTTTAAGCATAAAGCATGCAAGAGTAACCTGAATCCAGGCTGTGTTTAGCCAAGCATCAAATACTGGTGAAGTTCAGTGTAAGATGAAAATCTGAAGGTTTTAGGCATGGCTGCAGCCTGATGAAAATAATAATGTTTTGCTCCATTTTATATAACCCACTGAGAGATCACATTACCTGGAGGACTAGACATTCTGCACTGATCCCCTTCAACGTACTTCATGATATTAAAACAAAAAATGCGGGAATAATTATAATTATAATTAACTTTGGCAAGCCTCTTTACTTCACTTCACTCTACCTAAGGTGAAATCTTAGTGAAAGCAGGTAGAACTACTACCAATCTTTCATATGTGTTCAACAGACAAATCAGTAAGAAACCCTCTGGAAAACAGCAGCAGCGGTTCGTTAAGTTACATGAAAGTAAATTGGGCCTTTTTTGTCTAATGTTGGCTTATTGCTTTTTTAGCAGAGGTTAATCTTTCCACTAAATATGCATTTTCATTTCCATCTTACAGGCTTCTATTTAGTATTTTCAGGTTCTGCCTCTGTAGTTGTTTGTTTTGGTTTTTTTCTATTTGGCTCTTCTATCACATATTGAGGCCCTCACCTACACTGAATTGAAAAGGACGTCACAGAACACTGAGCACAAGAAGTTAAAATAACCTTAAATCGAAATCCACGCTGCTCTGAATCTACCAGAAAAGATGTTCCTTTCCTTCTGATGCAAGAAAACTTGCAATTCCTACGATACTGCGCTGACTTTGGCATACTACACAGCACACTACGGTATTTATAACATCAATAAAATGTCACAGGGCTACAATATTTAGCCGGTTGTTGCTAAGGTTTTGCGTTCTACTTTGTTTAGTAATTTGATTCCTCCTTTACCCTTTTAATTAAGTAGCAACTTTCTAGAGCAAATGACTGGATCTCCCAGCAATAGTTGCTGGAAGTGATTAAATTGATGACAAATGTGGAAAGACTGTTCTTCCTAACAACAGTGAGTTAATCCCACATCAGGAACAAATGGGGTATGGTTAAGCAGATGAGCAAACTAAGTGTTGATTTTTTGCAAAGAAATCACAGATGTTCCTAGTTTTCTACCTTAGTCCAGTACCCGGAACATTGTAACCGTCAGGGAGTCCCATAGTTTCTGGCAAATCTACAACCTGACAGAGCAGCTGAATACCAACCTCGTTGTATAAATCACTGAATTCTTCAACCACATCTTTCGGGATCCTTTGCCCATTGTTGGTAAGATGATAAGCCACCCCATTCTTGGAGTAAAGACTGATCCGTCCAACGCTTCTCTCACCATCAGTAGTCTCTTCAAGTAAACCATTGTCTTCTGCTAGATGATAGACTGGGTTTCCATGTGAACCATGAATCCACGTAGCTCCCAGTTCAAAAGTGGCGTGCCCTGCAGGAGAGTAAATCAAGCAGAGTAGTTATAGAAGCCCATTTTTCTGAAAGCATGTCACACTCAACTATAAATAGAACGTACATGTGCAAAACCAGAACAATTGCTCAAGGACAGCACATGTTTGACCACCACTTACACGAGCCTTCTCTGTTAGACAAGGGCAATGCCACTGTTCTTCAAACCAGTCCTTCAGGACTCAAGTTTAGATAGTGCTAGAAGGATGAGATGTTTCCAATAAAGATACATCACAGTGACACACCTCTGATACTTAAGGCAAAATCCAGAATCTTCTAGGTTCCCAGTTCTTATCATGGTTGTTGCTAACTGCTCTATCCTTGTTACTTGACCTTTCTAAACCATTTTCTCTAAACCTGCACTTAAGAACACAACCAGACAGCAGAGGATGTACCGCTCGTCCTGCAGCACAAGCCATGTACTAGTAAAGGAAGGGTGGGAAGGAAAAGAGCTGTAAGAAGCCACACTGCACTATTGCAAACAGGACGCATGAGGATACCTACATAAATATTACAGTGGTGGAGAAAGAATAGAGTACCTAAAGACTTCAAATATCCACTGTATTGAGGAGGAGGGGATGGATACCCAGACACAGAAAGAAAAGCATCTACAGCAGGGAGATGTAGCAAAATTTGGATTGCCCTGGAACAGCAACACTAGCCTGCTTACTGAACCTTGTCCTGTGATGAAAAATGCATGTTATTTACAAATACCCCTCAGATTAACTGCAATATGAAAATGCATTTCCACTCCCCAAATGAGCAAACAGGTTATATTTTATTATTTATGCCTTTGAAAATTTGTATCAAGTCGTGTAAAAAGATGCACTGTCAGGTTAAACACCAAACACATTTAGCCTTCATCACCTCTGCTCTCTGCCTGCAAAACACAAAGAGTTTGCTCAGCCCCACTCTCTCCTTTCCTCATAACTAAGAGGGTTTGCACCAGGGCTCTGACCCCGCCAAGCCAGTGCTGCCACGATTGGGCTGATAGCACAGGGAGATGTTCAGCAGCTGAAAGGAGGTGCTAAAAATAAGCTTGGGCCATGTCCTCCACCCACATTTTTAGAGATTCTCAGAAATCCAGAGCTAACTGTTTTAAAGTCTGACAAAGCTGCATTCTCCCAGCATCCCAGCCAACACCACGCTGTGCAGCTCACTCTGCAGAGGTGTGTAAATGCTTGATTAAGTGGGTTGGTTAATAGGATCCTGCTTGATGAAGAAAGAATCATGCAGTTACCAGTCATCATATACTGTTTAACATGTAAATATATGCTCAGACAGAAAGACACTGCAGCACTATGCTGTAATGCAGTCAAGGTTAACACGTGAAAGCTCCGAAAAAACGCTGCTCTCCAGCTGAGACACTGCCTCCAAGGGAAGCTCCGCATATCTTGTTTTTCAAGCAGACAACCACCTCGTCATTAAGGAGCATACTGATTGCCCTTCAAAATATGCATTACAGGACTCAAGAGCACAAGATTTCTACGTGTACCTAAAACAAAGCACGTGCTTCAGAGTGTGCAGCATCAAGTCACAAACGTGTGAATATTTAAGGTGCCACAAGCTCCAATACACTCTCAGAGCACCCAGCCTAGCGGAAATGACTGCTGTACATTGGCAGCCAAAGGTACAAACCTCATAAATACTGCATGTGGCAGTCACCTTGTTAATGGAATCCTCCTGCGAGTCATCACATGCCAGATCAGCAGCAGGAA